ATCAAAACATAAAGAAGAAGTGGGGGCCAGACAATTTTATCTCAGAAAGGGGACTGAATGGCACTTGCTGTGAGCTGGAATTCCTTAGAGTAAGGGCCAGCACCAACTTAAAGCAGCTTGTTCCTCCCACATGAAATATTTTTTTTTTAAAGAGGCATGTATTTTTATTTATTTATTTTTATTTATTTGTTTGTTTGTTTGTTTGTTTTGTTTATACAAGCACTGGGTACAGTCAGAAGCGCGGGAGGGTGAGAGAATTCACCAGAGCCAGAGCGGGGAGCAGAGCAGGCAGAAGGACCGAAGTACACTGCTGAGGGGAGCAGCGGGCGGCAGGAGAGGTCTGAGCGCCATGTGGGACCCTCCTCCGGTGGCCGGGGAGCAGCCAGGGATCGAACCAGCGCTGCAGAGGCCGCGGGCAGCTTCGCAACCCAGCGCTCAACTGCTGCGCCACCGGGGAGGCCCTGGCATGAAATATTATGAAACCATAAACATGAAACCATAAAACAAAACACCAAACATGAAACCATAAAACAAACATGAAATACCAAACATGGAGGATACCAAACATGAAACCATAAAACAAAGCACAAATTCAGAGAGTAGGAGGTACAGGGAGTTATGGAAGAAAGCTTCCTGGAGGAGGCGCCATGTGGGAAAGAATGAGGAAAAATCTGGTAGGTGGTGAGGGGAGACAAAGTCAAGAGTGTGATGAGACAGGAGCCTGGAAAGTGAGGAGCAGGGCTTGCCTTAGAGGATCCAGTTTGCACCTCAGCCTGAAGGAGCTCCTCAAGGTTTTCATGTGGGCGTCTCTGTGTATGTTTGATCAGGCTCAGGGGAGAGATTGAATTGGTCTCTTCTATCTTCACAAGGAAGAGGGCCGGAGGTTCAGTCACGGTGGCCCCAGTAAAGTTCAATGATGCGCCAGGACAGTAATAGTAGAGATGGTGGGGCCAGGGGGAGACGAATTGAGGTTCAGTGAGATCTGCAGGACTTGAAGACTGAGTACCAGCAGGCAGGTGAGATGTGGACATGTGTCCTGGGGTGGCACAAACTGGCAGCTAGTAAAGACTGGAGGGAGACCTCCATTCTCTAGGGCTCCAAAATTTGGGACTCTTTCTTTCTGAACCCCCACTATGTGCAGCTCTTCCCATGGTCTGGGATGTGGGCTTATGTCTGTGAATCTTCCTGGAAGACTGCAAGATTATTGTGTGTGGAGGGGACAAAGACCATACCTCCTTACTACAGTGACATGCAATATGGGCCTGGGTAGACGCTGGGCAAATGAAGACCCTAGGCAGTGAAGACCTGATGCGGAGGGGCCTGATGCCTCACCTTGGGTGCTGGGATGGAGCCAAGGCTCACTGAGGCAGAAAGTAAAGGTGCCCATGACAGCCTGATTGGATTGGCTGGGCAGCTATCCAGCATCTCCTGTGTGTCAGCTATTCCCTGTGATGTGCGTGTGAGTGTGCGTGTGAGTGTGCGTGTGCATGTGGGTGTGGGTGTGCGAGAGAGAGAGAAAGAAAGAGAGAGAGAGAATGAACATAAACACACATGGCTACAGCCCATCAGGAGAGAAAAGACAATAAATTGGATAATGCTAATTATAACACGTGCATATCAGACCACCTTGGAGGAGGATGTGTCAGGAGAGCAACATAGAGGAGGTGCTGTATGAGAGAGAAACAGGAGCTTGCCTTGCAGAGAAAGAGGGGTACAGGCTCTCGAGGCTGAGGAGAGAGCATGGTGGAAAGCACTCTGGTGAAAGTACCTGGAGCAGACCAGGGCTACCACACACTCACCCTACAATTTGTAATACACCCCTGCGGCCCCCTCTGCTTTCAGCAGCAGCTCACTGTAAGCCCAAGAGAACTCAGATTTGAGTGGATAGCACCCCACCTCTAGTAAGAGCTGGGAGTCTCTCCACTTTCTGCCCCAGGACATCCTCCCAGCTGGAATAACATCCTCAGGGACAGAAGAAGAACCTGTGGGTAAGTGGCTGACTCGTGGCAGGTAATTCTGGACACATCCCACCGTGTAAAGTCACTCTTTATATTAGTTTTCCCTCGTCCCCAATCTTATCCCCTGCCTCCCACCCCCCTCTTCCACTCCTGCTTCTTGGGATCACCTTCTAGTTAAACAACCTGCCTCAACTCCACAAAATAGCTTTTGTGTGTCTAGTCTACATTTCTTCCAAAGCAGGTGGGAGTTGTTTTGATTTGTTCTTGGTGCCATTAAATATTTGCTTAGGGAAGAATCCAAACTGAGATGGGGCACATTGTCGGGACCCTGGGTGGGAGGGCCTGTGGGGTGGATAATTGCACCAGAGTGCATATATTTTTCTGGGTCTCTTCTCTAGTGTGAGCCCTTGACTGGATGGGGGGGGGGCTGCAGGATTCTCAGAGAGGCCCCTGCTCTCTCAGAGCCCCCCTCCCCTGAGGAGACGTGACAGCAGGGGAAAGATCACAGCCAGGGAGGCATCCTTTGGCGCATATCACGTGGGTTGTGGGCAGCAGATTGATGCTCCTAATTACATTTGGCTCAAGCTGATATTAAGTATTTGTCTCATTCTTGTAGCCCACAAGGCTGGCGGATGGTGGGGAAACTGCCAACAGGCATGCTGGGTAGCTGAGGATGGCAATCTGGGATTGAAATATCCATGAGATACAAGTGGACAAGTCATAGCCAAGTGGGAGGGTGACTAAAGTTCTTGAGCTGCCCTTTAATGCTTCCAAGGGCTGGTGGGGTCCTGGAAAAATCTTGGGGGTGCATCTTCCTGTCTGAGGCAGATCTACCCAAGACCAACCGGACCTGGAATGTGACTGTTTCTGAGTTTGCTGAGGGGAAATGCTTTTGTGTGTCTAGTCTACATTTCTTCCAAAGCAGGTGGGAGTTGTTTTGAATTGTTCTTGGTACCATAAAATATTTGCTGAAGACCTACTGTGTGTCCAGGAGAACATTGTAAGAGAAGGCATGTGTTTGTGGCTCTTAGATCCGAATGCAAAAGGGGGGGGGGCAATCAGGGGTTGAGGTGGTCAGGGGAGAGGAAGGAGGTGGAGCCCTGAGAGATGAGGAGTGTTGTGGGATAAGGGCTGAGGAGGAAGGAAGGAGAAAGGGGGAGGCAAGCTTGGCAGGTGAACCACGTGGCCAAAGCCAAGTTCCAACACGGTTACACACCCAGGAAGGGTCTGCACAAAGGCATTGCTGAGGCCTACAGTAACATCCGCATCAAGATTTAGCAAACTACTCAAACTCCTCAGGTGCGAACCCAAGACTAATAGCTGTTCATCCACTTTCCAAGACAAGTGCCAAGCTCCAAGGAGGCAGCAGGCATGAGGAAACCCTGGAATTCACAGATCCAAACACAAAGCTGTGCCTGATTTTAAGACTTCAGTCCAAGTCCAGGCTCTGTCACTGTGTGTTCTTGGGCAGGTTCCATCCCTTCTTTGCTTCTGTTCACCATCAGCAAAATGAGAATGGTAATGCCTTCCTCTTACTGTTGCGTTTAAGATTCCAAGAGAATAGGTAAATAAAAATAGCAAGAGGAGCCAGAAAGCGCTTTGCAGATGCCGATCACTTTATTATTGTTGCTGTAGTCTAACCCTGCGCGCTCCTTGAAGACAAGCATAGGAACACCTCTCTTTCTCCAGCACCTTCCACGGAGCAGGTGCTCATGGACCACGTGGGCACCGTCGTGGGTGTCTGCAATGTACAATCGCGGTGGAGCAGGAGGCCAGCTCTTCCGGGCTGGCACAGGGGCTGTCGTGCTCGGGTGATCCTTCCCCTCAGTCAATGCCAACCCCTCCCCTCCTAGGTCTCAGTGGTTCAGGATCTGCAGAAACCGGTTCTGCTCCTGTGTCAGGAGGAGGCCTCTCTTGGCAAGACTTGCCAGGTCACCTTCAGGCGATTGACCCTCAAAACCCCAGCAGCAGCTCCAGGATATGCTGGGGCCCAGGTCGGAATCAGTTCACCACCCACGACACGCCTTCCAGAGCGGCCCCGCACTCGGGGTGGTGTAGCAGACGCAGGACAGGGCCCAGTCCGTCTCCAGGGCGCGCTTTTACCACCAGGGCTTGGGCAGGCAGCGAGCTGCGACATGGAGCGCAGGCGCCAGCAGGAGCGCGGGGAGCCGGGCTGGGTGTCACTTCTCTCCCTGGTCCTCAGTTTCCTTTTCTGTAAAACTGACTGTGAGCCTCTCGCGCTGATCCCTTCGGGAATTAGATTCAAACGACGCTGATACCAACCCATCCCGGGACACTGTGTGCGGGGCTATGGCGCGAGGCTGGGGCGCCGGATAACTCCAGGGCTTTGCGCGCCACGCCCCTCTCTGCCGGCCGCGGGGTTCTCCGGGCCCCGGAGTCGACTTTGCGCACCTCCAGGGGGCGAGCCCGGCGGTCTTCTCGGCCCGCGCGGCGCCTCGGCGGCCAGGCGCGCCACTTCACCAGGGCCCCCGGCCAGCGCGGCTCCGGAGAGCCCGGGGGGCCGCCCGCTGCCCCGGCCGGCAGGTGCCAGGACTCCGCCTCGCCCGGCGCGGGGCGTCCGCGGGCCTGAAGGGGTTAAGGCCGGGGGCCGGGGCGCCTGCCCCGGGCCTGGAGCGCGGCGGTCCCCCGCGGCGGGAGATCGGGGCCGGAGGCGCGGGGCGCGCCAGCGGGCGGGCGTGCGCTTCCTCCTCCTCCCTCCGCCTCCTTTGTAGCGAGTTCCCGGCCCCTCTTCCTCCCCCCGCCCCCCAGCCCGGGCCCGCTCCCTCGCTCCCTTTCTTCCTGCCTCGCCTTCCTGCGGCGAAGGAGGCTCATCTATTATAAATGCACATTCGGGGCTGACATCAGCGACGAGCGGCGGGCGAGCGCCGACGAGCGGTCCCTGCGCGCTGCCCGTGGAGCGCGGCCCCAGGCGCCGCCGAGCCGCCAGCCGGGCGCGGGGAGCGCGCCGAGCCTCGTCGGACCCCCTGCCTGCCCGCCGCCGCCCGGGACCCCCCAGGACCGCGGCCGCCGCCCGCGCCCCCCGCGCCCGCGCCCCCGCGCCGCCCCGGACTTTCTGCATGACTGTCACAAAGGTAAGCGCCCGAAGCCCGCCGGCGCCTGCAGCCCCCGGCCTGGGCAGCTGGGGGCGCGGGGGTGTGGGTGTGGGGAGGGGGCGCTGGTGCGGGGAAGGTGCGGCGCGCTCCTCCCCGGCTCCCCCGGCCGCTCGCGTCCCCAAGGACTGCGGAGGGAAGGGGGAGGATGCAGCTCTGGCAGCCGCTGTGGTTTGGACAACATCCCTCCGCACCAGCCCAACCCCACGACTGCATTTTTAACCCTTGTTTGAATGCTGCATTTTTAACCCCTGGGGAGCGGTGTTGGGCAGCCCAGTGGTGCCCCCCTCCCCCCCTCGGAGCGCGCCGCCGGGACTATCACTGGCGGGCACCGGCGCAGGCCAGTGGATGTGGGAATAGGTTTGCTGCTCTGAGGTGGAAAGGAAAGCCCACCCCACCTGCCGGCCCCTGCCGCCCATCCAGGAACTCTGGCCCCGCTCCAGAGCCACTCAGTGGAGCAGGCGCTTCTCAGGCCCCGGAGTGGCTTGCAGGGACAGGAAAGGTTTTGTGGTGGCTTGAAGATAGGGGGAGAGGCTGTGACAAGGAAGAGGGAGGTGGGTATTCTGGCAGCCCCCATTTGGAGGAGGGTTCTTGAACCTTGCTGTAGAGGCCCAGGTTTACTGGAAAGACTTTCCAGGAGAGGGAGTTTCCGGTATGGGGCAGAAAGAGTTAAGAGGAAACCAGACCAGGTAATAGAAAGTGCTTGGGATTAGTGGCTGGGCAGAGTGGAACTCAGTCCCCAACTCTGCCCAACCCCTCTGAGTGACCTTGACTGGACCCTTCTGCTTGGCCCTCAGTTTCCTCTTGTGGAATGCAAGACTGATCATATGGATCCTCGGGTGATTGAAGGACCAGTAAGGTCAAAGGGTTGGACCCAAACTTCTCAGGGAGCTCACAACTCAGCCTTAGCCTTGGTTTGGTGACTCATGCACTTAAACCCAGACTCCACCAGCTGCCCAGCTGGCTCTCAGAACTGGAGAGCTGGAGGCCATGGTGGGAAGGGCAGCTTGCTTGTGGTCAGAGCAGTGGGTCAGATGGAGCATCAGACTTTAAGGGGGGTGGAGGTTGATTTGTGCTCCTTCTAAGCCAGGGGCTACCTATGCCCACAGTAAGATCTGCCACAAGATAGCATGTTTGGTTGGGGTCTTTGGGCTCAATTCCACAACTGGGACTTGGGAACATTGTGGGAAGATGAACTTGGAGGCTCTCGGGCACCCTTGGCTCCGGCTGTTACTGTTAGGGCTGCTATGACCCACAGGGGGTAAGGTGCTAGAGTGTTATGAAATGCTGTAAACGCTTATCATTGAGGTTATTAATGTCAAAGACAGAATCAGGCCAGGGCGGAAGACTAATGGATGAGGCTAGATGAGAAAGGATGTGAGATTTGTAACAACGGCCCTGAGAATTGAGTTCTGAGCTCATTTTGTCCCTGAGCTCAGGCAGCCTTCCTTCCTAGGAGGCCTGCAGTCATGTATTCAGCCCCCTTGAACAGAGGAAGAAGCTGAGTCTCAGAGAAGTAAAGTGACTTGCCTGAGGTCACCCAGCAAGTAGGTGGCAGAGCTGGGGTTAGCCCTCAGGTCTATCTCAGTCTATAATCTGTGATTGTCTCATTGCTCTGTAATATTGAGCACCCTAAAAATTGGGTCATTTCCGTGGTAGTGGGGCACTACCTGGAGGCCAGTGCCCTGGGATGGGGGAGTTCATGAAGGTGTGCATTTGTCCGTGAAATCCACTGGCAGCCTGGCCTCTTGATATCCAGTGATTATTGCCTTGAGCTGTGCTCTCCCTTTCCCTCCAACCCCCACCAAGCCCCCCATGACTCTCTCCTACTCTAACCAATGTGGCATCATCCTTTTAAGCCAGCTCAGAGGATTAAATAAAATCCCCACTTTAACCCTATCTTCTCTCCCCTTGCCAGCCCTTCACACACTAGAAATGTTCCTGCCAGGAGGGCTGGAAGAGCAGGAGGGATGCAGGAGAGGGGTCTGGGGCACTTCCTTATGCCTAAAGCCTGCCACAAGTACTAGAAGAAACCAGTCTCTGGGAGCTTTAAGGCTTGGCCTCTAGTCCTAAATCAGCCACTCAGACTGGGTGACTTGGGCCAGTCACTTCCCTCTCTAGGCCTGTTTTCTAATCTGTGAAATGCAGGAATTGGCTTTCATGCCTAGGGTCCCTTCCACTGAGCCTTGGAACAGCTTCAGCTTTGGCAAGGATGTTGGCTTTGATGGAGACTGGGGGCTCTTTGTTCTCTGAGGTGGTCTGGTTATAGGATATGAAGATGAGCCCTAAACAGAATCTGAGGTAGGCTCCAAAGGATGGGTTAGAGGGTGAGACTCCGGCCTTCGCTGTTTCTCTTCCAGGTATAGGGTACCAGGTCTGGAGTGGGCACCAGCATCCTGCCCTTGGAACTATGCCCTGAGCCTTTATGTCAAAGCACAGAGTCCTCAGGTTCAGGATGAGGGTGGATTGCATGAGATGGTCTTAGCTCAGAAAGGCCTAGAAAGTGGAGAACTCTGGTGGCAAGTTGCTAGATTCTCAGTAGCGCCTCCTTAGAGGAAGTAGGTCGTAGGTCTCAACTTTCCATTGCCACCTCCTCTCATACATCCCCTAGCCCCCTTCCTACTGGGGTGCAGCTGGAGAAACAGCATGTAAAGCCCTAGGGTTTCTAGAGGCACTCCTGCCCTAACTAGCACCAGAGTTAGAAAGCCATGTGTGTAACCTCTGGATCGTGGGCTTCTAGCCTGATGACATTTGTCCTGGGTAGGGTGTCTCAAACTCTATTTATTGTGTGTTTTATTAAACTGCTTTAGTTTCTTTATGTAATAAAGAGGAGAAGAAAGAAGAAAAAAGGAAGAGACAGCAGGGGTGAGGCCCAGATGCAGTTTCCCAGACCAGCAACAGCCCAAGAGGTCAAAGCTGTCCCTTTAGTTCCTTCCAGGGGGGAAAGTGAGGGGGGAGAGGATGAAAGCTACTTTCCTAGGAACAAGATAATTTTATTCTGGGTAATTTTTTCTTCCTCTTCTTGTGCCTGCTTTTTATGTTTCTATCTCTATTCCGTTTCAGTCATCTGCCAGATGGACAGTGCTCCTCCATCTCTAACTATCTGTTTCTAAAGTGTCATCAACCGGAAAACAGAACAGAATCCATTAGAACTGTGGGTAGCATAGAGTCAATAGGCTATCAGGAAAGTCTGCAGACTGTGATTTAGGGCTCTGCCACCGCCTGAGGCGCCTCTTTTGGACGCTCCAGAGCTGGAGCTTCTGGGTAAGCACAGTGATGGCTGGAGCGACCCGGCGCTCTGGTTCCTGGGTGTGCCTCCTTAGGTCCAATGCCAGTGAACTCAGTGCTGTCCAGGTTCCCGAGGCTGGCTCAGGGGGTCAGCAGCCCAAGCAGGTGAGCAGCAGGGGTGCCTATGGTACGTGAGGACTCAAGAAGGCATGTGGGTGAAGGGAGACCCTGATTCCAGCATCCCTCTCCCCTCTAGGAAACTGATACCCTGTTTAATTGAGCAGCATCCTCAACTGCATCCTGGTCTCTTTCTGCAGGTCAGCCTTGGCTCCCCTGCCCCGTCCCAGCAAAGCTCAGCTCACAGATGGCAGCCCCTTGCTCCTGCCGAATGTGACGGGACCAGAGCGGGGTGTTGCCCTGCCTGGGTCTTTAATAGCAGTTAACTGTGTGGCAAAGATCACAAGTCTCTAGTGGCCCTATGGAGTGGCTCATGGGAGAATAGAATGTTTGAGCAATCAAGTCACCCAAACTTCTCTCTTGACAAATGTGGGACCTGAGGCCCAGGGAGCAGAATTGTGACTTGCTTAAAGTCATTCAACAAACCGGTGCCTGGGCCCTGTCACTGCTGGTCTACCTGGCTGCAGTGTGAGGTGGAGGTCAGGCAGCCTTGAGTAGGGGCAGGCTTGGAAGGACCACCTCAGTTACCCCACTGCGTCACCCCAGGCAGCAGCTTCTGCCGTCTGCTCCACATTGCATTACCTCCTTCCTCTGAGTTCTTCTTTCAGATGGCTAGTTCTGGTGCAGGAGGTCGTGGCTAGCAGTCATTCATTCATTTAGCCCTAGCCCTCGGGCTCCTCCTCTGGGCCTGGCCTCTGTTAGGCATCTGGGTCACAGGATGCACTAGCCACGGTCCTTGCTGTTCAGGCCCTGAGAGTGATGGCTGCGGAAGGAGGCATGCCTAAGACCCGAGTGAGGGTTCTGAGGTCCAGCAGACACAAGCCAGCCAAGAGAGGCCTGACTTGCCTGCAAACTGTAAGTGCTGAGGAAATGCTGGCTCTTTCCTTCCTCCCTGTGCCTCCCTCTGGGCAATGAAATTCCTCTCCTCTGGTAATTACTTTCTTCCTGAGTGTGCCCAGAGGCTCGATGTTCTCTTGCCCAGGGGCACTTCACCTGGGTACCTATGGCAGCTTTTAGAGGCATCTGGGAAGGATTGTGAAGTTCCCTGGGACTCCAGAACCACCCTATCGCTAGCCACTCCTGTGGAGTCAGCACACATTTGAGCTCGACCGATTTGGGAGTGAGGACGATGGCTGGACCAGCCACCTGGCAGCCTCAGGCCTGGCAACTCAGCGATGGAGTGAGTTTTTCCACTTCTCTCTCAGAATTGACTGGCCTGAAGCAGACATGGCTCAGCCGCTGCCGGCTCCTGGCACTGGGGTGGCCTGGAATCTGATTTGGATAGAATTTGTCTGGAGTCCAGCAGATGAGAGAATGTGCAAATTCCCTCTGTGCCCAGCCCCCGCTCCTTCCCTTTTCTTTCTTTCTTTCTTGCTTTTTTTTAAAGATTTAGTTATGTATACAATAACTGGGGTACAGGCCAGAGGTGTGGGGGGTGAGAGGATTCACCAGAGACAGAGAGGGGAACAGAACAGGCAGACTGATGAAATACACTGCTGAGGGGAGCAACAGGAGACAGGAGAGGTCTGCTGTGCCATCTGGGTAGCTCCCTGGCTGGGGATCGAACTTGTGCTGCA